TCTCAAAGGTTCCCGAACCTCGGTCAAACAAACAACCGTGTATCTTTTCTATTCTCTGTTGTTGCGTTCTTGATTTCGTAGATCTGTGTTGGAATCGCTCCAACAGTGGTATCAGCGCCTAGGGTTTTATTTCTCATTGTGAAATCAAGAAGATCGAAGACTCAATTGGAATCTTAATTCACCTTGATCAAGATCTTGATGAAATCGAAGAACATGGGTACCGCAAAATTTGAACTGGAAAAGTTCGATGGCTCTGGGGATTTTGGGTTATGGCGCAAGAAATTAAGGGCTATCTTAGTTCAACAAAAGGTGGCCAAGGCTCTCGGAGACATGAAGGATGTTCAAGGCACCGATGAAGATAAGGCTGACATGCAGGAAATTGCATACTCTACGATTATCCTCTATCTCTCGGACAACGTACTTCGGCAAGTCATTAAAGAAGACACAGCTGCGAAGGTATGGCTTAAACTTGAGCAGTTGTATATGACTAGGTCCCTGACAAATAAAATTTACATCAAAGAAAGACTTTTCGGTTTTAAAATGGATCCGAATAAGGATTTAGAAAAGAACCTTGATGAATTCAACAAAATAATACTCGATTTAGCTAATATCGGTGAGAAAATTAAAGAGGAAAATCAAGCCGTTATATTACTAATATCTCTTCTAGAACCGTTTAAGGAAGTGAAAAATGCAATAAAGTATGGTAGGGATAGTCTAACATTAGATGATGTGTTGTCGGCTTTGAGATCGAGAGAGTTAGAGACAAAACATGAATTGTCAGCTAGAGGCGCTGAAGGCCTATTCTCTAGAGGGAGGCTGCAGAAGAGAGATCAGGGCAAGTTCAAAAATAGGCCAAACTCTAGATCAAAGTCAAAGTCAGGTCAAAGAAAGTGTTACTTCTGCAATAAACCAGGTCATATCAAAAGGTTCTGTAAAGAATGGAAAAAGAACTGTGCAGAACAACCAGCTGAAGGGGCTAATGTGGCTTTAGTATATCAAGAAGATGGATATGAAAGCTTTGAGATGCTTACAGTGAGTGTCAGCCAGCCTCAGGAAGAATGGATCTTAGATTCGGGCTGCACATACCATATGTGCCCCAAGAGAGAGTGGTTCATCTCCTATCAGAAATTGGATGGAGGAAGAGTGCTAATGGGGAATAACTATGCGTGTTCTGTTGTTGGCATAGGCTCGGTGACTTTGAAGCTAAGGAATGGAACAACTCACGTACTTCAAGATGTGAGACACATTCCCGAACTGAGAAGAAATCTGATCTCACTAGGTGCCTTAGATGACATGGGCTATGGCTACAAGGCAGAAGGTGGAGTCTTGAAGGTGCTTAAGGGGTCAATGATGATTCTCAAAGGGGAGAAAAATCAGGGCTTGTATGTCCTGGATGGACACACGGTCACTGGTGCTGCAGCCACAACAGAAGTCAAAGATCAAGCAATATTATGGTATCATAGGCTCGGCCATGTAAGTGAAAAAGGTTTACAAGAGCTATGTAAACAGGGTCTCTTAGGAAAAGGGCAGATTGGGCAGCTGGAGTTCTGTGAGCAGTGCGTGCTTGGGAAACAACACAGGCTAAAGTTTGCTGCCTCATCATACAGAGCCAAGGAGCCTCTTGATTATGTAAACGCTGATCTGTGGGGACCAGAAAGCACATCCACATTTGCTGGACACAGGTATTTTCTATCAATTGTAGATGATAATTCTAGAAAAGTTTGGGTGTACTTGTTGAAAATAAAAGATGAGTGTTTTGAAAAATTTAAACAATGGAAAGTATTAGTAGAAAATCTCACTAATAAGAAATTAAAAGCACTAAGAACTGATAACGGAATGGAGTTCTGTCATGAAACTTTCACTAAATATTGTCAAGATAATGGCATTCTAAGACACATGACAGTAAGAAACCCCCCCCCCCCCCCCCCCCCCAGCAAAATGGCATAGCAGAAAGAATGAACAGAATACTAATGGAAAGGGTCCGATGCATGCTTTTCAGTTCCGGTCTTAATAAACACTTTTGGGGGGAGGCTGTTACAACAGCCCGCTACTTAATTAACAGGTGTCCTCATAAGCCTATTGGCTTAAAGACACCGGAGGAATGCTGGACAGGCAAACCTCTAAATATATCAAACTTGAGAGTGTTTGGATGTGCAGCTTATGCACATCAAAGAGAAGGTAAATTAGACCCAAGGTCTTTTAAGTGTATTTTTCTGGGCTATCCAAATGGAGTTAAAGGGTATAGATTGTGTCTTAGAAATGGGTCACAATATAAAGTGATAATAAGCAGGGATGTGGTCTTTAATGAGTCTAACATGCCTTTCTTAAAATTAGAAAAAGATACTGCTGTCAGTTCTAACAATGCAGGAAACAAAGAAAGGCAAACTCAGGAATTCCAGCTTGAGGTGGAAGGACCTCACAAACAACCTGCTGGTACACGGCAGAATCATACCTCAACTCAAAATCAACCATCTGCCCAACAAGAACCCACAGAGGAAACCAAAGTTCATGATCAAGAGGATCAACTAGTACCTGATCAGGACTTAGGCCAATACCAATTAACCATAGACATGCCTAGAAGGACTATAAAGCCACCGGTAAGATATGAAGGAGGAAACTTGATAGCCTTTGCTCTAAATACAGTAGAAGACGTGGAAGAATAGGAACCCCGAAGTTTCCAAGAAGCTACTTCTACTCCTAATGCTAAGAGTTGGAGAAGAGCAATGGAGGAAGAAATGCAGTCACTAAAGAAGAATAAAACATGGATCTTAGTTCCTAGACCTAAGAAACAAAAGCCAGTGGATTGTAAGTGGATCTTTAAGATCAATGAGGGATCCACTCCTAAGGAACCTAAAAGATTCAAAGCGAGACTGGTTGCTAAAGGTTTTACGCAAGTGGAGGGAATTGATTATACAAAAATTTTCTCCCCTGTTGTAAAGTATAAAACTATTAGGACCATTCTTGCAATTGTAGCTCATGAGGATTGAGAATTGGAACAAATGGACGTGAAGATTGCCTTCCTCCATGGAGACTTGAAGGAAACTATCTACACGAACCATCCATCGAGCTTTGAAGAAAAAGGCAAGGTAAATCATGTATGTTTATTGAAAAAATCACTATATGGTTTAAAACAGTCTCCTAGACAGTAGTATAAAAGGTTTGATCACTATGTTGCTCAAATTGGTTTTATTAGAAGCCACTATGATTCCTGTCTATACTATAAAGATTTAAGTACTAAATCTGTAGTATATCTTTTATTGTATGTTGATGATATGCTTATAACAAGCCCTGATATAACTATCATTGACAAGGTTAAAAATCTTTTAGGATCCGAATTTGACATGAAGGATCTAAGAAATGCTAAGAGAATCTTAGGAATAGACATAAAAAGAGATAGAAAACAGAAAAAAAAAATTATGTTTGTCTCAGGAAGCATACTTAAATAAGGTTGTCAGGAAGTTCTTTATGGAACTCTCTAAGAGTGTCAAGGTACCACTTGCAGGTCATTTTAAACTCTCTGCTGATCAGTCACCTTCTACTGAAGAAGAGAAAATTAAAATGACCAAAATCCCTTATGCTAGTGCTGTAGGTTCATTAATATATTACATGATATGCACTAGACCTGATTTAGCCTATGCTGTTAGTGTTTTAAGTAAATATATGGCTAATCCAGGTCTTGATCATTGGTTAGTCATGAAGTGGGTGTTGAAATATGTTAATTCCACTATTAACTATGGTTTAATTTACAAGTACACATCTAATCACTTGGTCTTGGAAGGTTTTGTGGATTCTGACTTTGCAGGTGACAGAGACAGGAGACAATCAACCTCAGCCTATATGATGACTCTTGATGGAAATTGCATAAGCTGGAAATCACAACTCCAGCCGGTTGTTGCTCTGTCGAGTACTGAGGCAGAGTACATTGCAGGAACTGAGGGCTTCAAAGAAGCAATCTGGATTCAGGGATTACTGTCAGAATTGAAAATCCTAAAGGGGGATACAACCATTTATTCGGACAGTTAATCAGCCATCCATCTCTGTAAAAATCCAGTTTATCATGAGAAGACCAAACATATAGATGTGAGGCATCACTTCATAAGAGAGAAGGTGGAAGAAGGCATAATCAAGTTTGAGAAGATAGACACTGAAGATAATCCTTCGGACATGGCAACAAAGGTGATTAATGCTGGCAAGTTCCATAAATGTCTGGACTTGCTAAGCATTGGAAAGACTTGAATATCAAGTCTGAGCAAGGACATCCGCAGGAAGCCACTAATGTTCATCAGAGGTCGTTTACTGAGATTAAGGTGGAATTTGTGAGAGTAATCTCAGGAAACGACACTCATCAAGGAAGTACTTACTCAAGGGTCTTGTCGTTTGGTTCAAGGAGCTGTCGTTTTGTTGAATGGCAGGAGCAAACCGACTCAAGGTTATTTTCAAGGGCTTGACACGTGTAAAGCTATTAAGATATAATCCTTTGGCCAAAAAGGGTCGAGAGATTAGAAGATATTTTTCTGTATTGTAGAGAGAGAGTGCGATTTGTATAGAGAGAAACTCCTTGATTGTGTACAGAGAGAAATCATCAATTTGGTAACGAGTGAATCTGGAGAAAAACTTAGGGTTTCTTCTCCATTGGGTATTCTTCTTGTTCGGGTGTGAGTGATTTCTTCTTGGGTTGTGAGTTCTTCTCTGGTTCTCAGAATCTCTGTAATCGTGAGTATTGAGGGTGTAATTGCTTTCTTGATCTAGTGGAAAGAGCTTGCGTACCTCATCGAGAATGTAGTGAAATCTCGATGATTCCCGAACCTCGGACAAACACAACCGTGTATTTTTTCTATTCTCTGTTGTTGTGTTCTTGATTTCGTAGATCTGAGCATATATATATATATATATATATTATGTGAAATTGAATGCTCAACAAAGAATGTAGTTTAATGTTTTACTGTGGCAAACTTGAACAAATACAGAGGTTGCCACACTTCACAAATATAAAATATCTAACCAATCAATCATGACAAATTACTTTTCCCCCGAGTCGATCATCGGAAAATGATATAATCGTTCAAGTCTATTCTTTAACCACATTAATCGTCATCATCACTGTGTATATTGACATGATCCTCACTTTCCCCCCGTAACACTTTGATGTTACAAAAGTTCCAGGAGAGGATGAGGCCTCAATATGTCTAAAATAATCTAATTGTTGAAAAAGCTACCAAAAAACAATTTGATGCTGTAATGTATGAATTGCATCGTCAATGGGACAATTTCTGGTCGGGCCGACTAACTCGGCTGCAATGCTAAACCGCTAGGTGCTTGACAACATGTATTTCCTCAAACCAGCATGTTCCATCATCACAATGTGTGAGGCTGTGGATCAGAAGGGAATGATGAGACAAGAAAACGGTGAATCATCTCAAAGCTGGTGAATGTAATTACAGCAGCTGGAGTAGTTCTCAGAAGGTTGGTGGCACAACCCCGGTAAAATCCAGGAAGGCCGTCTTGTTGAAATACTTTTTTGACGCAATCGGCTACACCAGAATATCGCTTCTCGGAGTGATGGCCTTGTTCTTGAAGCCTCGAGCGCACCACCTGAACATGATATTAGAAATAGATAACGTTTCCAGCTGAAGGAAAGCTTTTCTTATATGTTATAAGCTTGATAGCCACCTCTCACGAATTAGAATCACGAGCTTACTAGATTAGTAATTCATTAACACCAAGAAGACTATCTTCTAAAGATTTTTCGGGCCAGAAACTACCATTTAAACAAGAAAATAAAGTTTCCAAATGGTAATTTTAATATTCAAAGAAATTTGTATACCTCATGTGGATATGTCAACGTGGAAGCAAATATTTTCGAGATAGATGAGGCAATGGCCACATCACGTGCGCTGAGTTTGTCCATCGTAGTATTTTCTGATATTACCACATCAAACAAGTTACAAACTTTTGATTACGAGTTCTTTAAAAGCTACAAACCAGATAAATAATTACCTCGATCAGCCAAATAGAGTTTTATTCTCTCATATGTTGGAAATTGGATGGCGACGTGACTGATACCAGCCAAAGCAGGCACTAGACCACTGGATCAAAAAATAATTAACGACATTACGAAAAACACAATTATAAATCTATAAATTAGGAACAAATAGAAATATAAATCTCAACATTATGCACATAGGACAAAAACCTGTACAATCCACGGATGCCTTCCTCATGAGCTATTCTACTCAAAGCAGAAAGAGTACTCCTGTATGGAACTACACCAGGTCTCATTCCTTGAGTCTGTAAAAGAAAAGTGAAAGTGAATACTCAAAGCTGATCTATACCCCTTTGGTCATCCTACGTATCAAATGAAAATGACAGTATCTACTAGAATATTGTCGTACTAAACAAAACCATACATAATGTGGATTTATGATGATAAACACCATGCAGATTCCAGGTATCAGATAATGGTCTTTTGCACTAAATCCTCAAATGGTAACTTCAACATCTAACCATTACAAATACATCTTAAAAATTCCATACGATAATACTCATCCTTTCATAATTAATATTATAATACGGATTTACCAAGGTGGGCAAGAAATTGGAAGACAAACCTGAAGTCTTGTCTTGACGACCCAAAGTGGATTTGTAGCAATAATTGTTGCAGCTCCAGCACAAGAAGCAGCTATCACATTAGCGCCAACAGAAAGTTGATGATGCTCGTCTACAGATGCAGCATGGCCAAAAACAGAGTATAAACTCACATCAAAGGTTAATGGAATCAAAGCCAGAATAAACAGAACAATGGTTTGACAAGAAGAAATCAGCATTAATCCAATATATAAAGTAACAGGGGGGAACTTACCATCAGAGCAAAGCAAGCTTTTGAGCTGCTCATACATAGAAAAATAAACCTGAAACATAGAATCACATCAGAATTCTCGTCCTTAGTCAGACAACTCTAAAGTGCCATCTTTCTCACAAATCACAAAGTAAAACTCAGAAACTTGGTTTAGGCTTTTCAGTCAAATAATTGAACAAGAGTCGGGTTCTGAAAAGCAAGGTAAGAAGCTATAACTAAAACGCAACAAGACTCACAGCCCAGTTGGGAAGTAATGCCAGGACAGTGGGAGCGAGACCACGATACATTCCACGTAACCCCTCCTTGCGAAATATTTGTTCCAAACTTCCAACTATGAGACTACCTGATCATACACAAATACATGAACAATATATTAAGTTTTATCTTTTTTTACTAAAAACAGAAACAGACTATACCACTATGGATAAAACATGAATAGCTTTTACTTCAGAAACGAAATTATGAGGGAAAAAAAAAAAGGAATACCTTTAATATTTCCATGATTGAGAGTTGGAATCCCATGAACTTGAAACCTAGTCTTGATCACATCGAGAGGACACACAAACGTCGCGGCGATAACCCCTGCCATCCAATTCCCGAAATCCAAACAATCAGACGCTTAAAACCGATCATCGCATATTCAATTAAGCCTAATCTCACCCTAAATCAAAATTCAAACAATTCCAAATTTTCTTCTAAACTATTTCTCGGGAACCAATCAAGTAGGAGAAAGGAAAAAAAAAAAAAACGACGTACCAGCAGCAGCACCAGCGCCGGCATTGCGGAGGACGCCCTTGGGAGTGGGACTATGAGCGTCGGCGGCCATGGCGGAACTCAGAGAAGAAAGTGAGAGAAGTTTGGGCGGAGAATTCAAAGGAGTCCTCTGTTGAGAGGGAGATCCGAGCAGCGAACCAGCGTCGCATGGCAAGAAGGGGGTTGAGCGGCGATCGAGGGAAAAAGAACGCCGGAAACCGTCGTCGTCGTCGGTCTGAGTCGAATCGGGGCGAGTTAGGGTTGGAGATCGACGGAGTCAATAACTCATATTGAGAGGCCTCGGTTTGGCCTACTTTCTCTATCCGCCAAAGCCTATTTGGTCCCAGCCCGACGAGTAGCCACAAATTGGATCTCCAAAAGCAGAAAGAATATAACTATTCTATATATAGTTTGCTCACGTCAAAATTTTACCAAACTGAAAAGTCTTCGCCTTTTTTTTCTGTTTTTTTTTATTGTTCTTTAATTTTAATTTATTGTAATATTTAATTGAATGTAGGTCTTTTCCGGCGGCCCGTCCTAAAATTTCGGTTTCTTATTTTTCAAACAATTATTAAAAAGTGAATTAACAATTTTTTATTTGTATCTTTTCTCTTTAGCTGTTTTTTTATTGTTATATCGTAAATTTTGATGTTATCAAAAAAATCATATACCTCGTCTTTATTTTGAAATGTGTGACATTATAAATCTTAATTGATCACAAACAAAATCTAATCCCAATTTAAAAAGAGATCAAAATTTTGCATATCTCATTGTGTTTGCAATAGAAATCACAACTCTTAACTTCAATTGTTGAACTAGTGCATTAAAAATAACTGATGAATAAGATATTAACGCCATTAATTTAGGCATTGTTCAGTTCGTTAATTCAAATTTTTAATTTAAGTTGAGATGTGATTTTATATGAGAATTTTTTTACTGTAGTCGAAAAAGTTAAATGTGAATTTTTGTGATAATTTTTAACTGTAACAAAATTAAAATTAAAAACTCAAATCAGTAAAATAAACGGATCATTATATTTATAGATAAAATTGAATTCCTACTCGATGACATATTTAAGATGATATTTTTAGAAAAATTAGAATGAAATAAGTGTGGAGAGTAACTTTTAAACACATCTTTTACAAGTAATTTCATTAGTAACTCAATAATAATAAATCTTTTTTAAAAAATAATGAGGGTTGATTATACTAAGGGAGATAACAGAGTCATCAATGATGCTACAATAGTACAAGTGGCCTAAAAAGTCCGACATAGTCATTAGTTACCTGGCGGCTAGATAAAATCCTTATTTCTCTGCACATGTTCAAGAGAGTCCAATGTAATTTGGTAAGTGACCCATTTGCTTAATGTTTTTCCATCATTATATAATTCAACAAATAATCACACTTACTATTTTTATATGTTAAGAGAATACAAGACCAACAGAAAAGACAAATAAGGAGACGTTTGGTTCATGGATTAAAATTATGAGATTATAATTATTTTCGATTTACATGTATTTTTTATGAGAGAAAACATTGTAACGAACCATGAACCATGATTTAAATTATGATATGAACCTCCTTACTAAACGTCTCCTAAGTTTTCTATCACCACCTTTTTGTCGCAATTTTCCTCAACCAAATTTATTAGTCCTACTGACCTTATTGATTGCAACTCTATTTCTTTTAGTGAGAAAGCATTCAAATTGTATCCCTATCTCTTTCATTAGAGTTTTTCTGGTATAATCAGAAAAGGATAAATAATCAGTAATTTTTTTTAATTGTTAAATTTATATACAAAATTATATGTTTATATATTTTTAATTTAATGTAATTTTAATTAAATTTAACTTTTAAAAACTGACCTTATTAATTAGACGAAGAAAAATGTCATTCTTTATAGGAGTGTTCATCGGTTTTTAACCAAAAATTTCAGTCAGTTTTAAAACCGAACCGATAATGTCAGTTTTTAAAAATTTAAAACCGAACTGAAGAACAATGTCTTCGGTCGGTTAACCAACCGATTTTTATCAGTTTTTATCGGTCGGTTTCTTACTTAAAGAATTTTTGTGAACAATTTCAAACACATCAGACTTTTAATAGTCTCACATTGAAAATAGATGAGAATGTATTCCCTCAACTATTCTATATAAATGGTTATATATTTCATTTCTCCATCACAACTTACAAGTTAGAGAGATCTAATTTCTTTTAAATGCCTATCTTCAATAATATGGTGGACTTATATTCATCATCTACAATATTAGAGGTTTGAATATATGGATAATAACTTTTTTTTTAAATTGGTCGGTCGGTTCAGTTTAACTGATTACTTCGGTTGATAAAACTGAAACCAAACTGCCCATGAACCATAGGCGGTCAGTTAATTGACCAAATTAGTCAGTTTGCTGATGTGGAACCAAATTTTTAACTTTTTTCGATCGGTTTGGCGGTTCAGTGTCGGTCGGTTTTGGTTTTTTAGTTTTTTTGAACACTCCTAAATTTTTTTCAATTTTTTCCCATAATATTATTTCCCATGGTATTTATTCCATCAATTTCAACGTTTGACTAATCAAATTCTGAGCACGTGAATAATTTGTCTTTTTTAATGATAGTCGTATTAACCTCAACTATCAATATTCTGACATTTTTAATCTTTAACCTTTGGAAAAAGGGATCACGTGCATAGGATAGCTTATCATTAGTAATTACTTGTGCGTGCAACAAAAATATCGAACAACATTCCTATTGGGCTTCGAAATTAGGTGCTCGCAACACACAAGGACGGGCCTCCAACACACAGCTAAAAAAGCCCCGAGAAGATGCCAGGATTAGTAAAAAAAAGTTGTAGCTAATAATTAATTTTTATATAGTAAAATAACTTATTTATTATAATGGTTAATAACTATATTTTTTTTTATAGATTCGAAAGAAGATCGTAAAACTAAAAAATGATTTTATAACTTAAAATTAGTAAATATTGATAAGAAATTATATATTTGAGGCTTTATAGGAGTAACTCTGATAAATCTTGAATTTATCAACTTTAATAATTTATGGATTATCAAATTTAGTCATAGAATGAATTGAGTAAACCACGAATTTTTGAAATTTTAACGTTCATTGTTGTTAAGAGCTATAATATTTTGCATTTAATGTAACTAACTATACAAAAAATAATAATTATTATGTAATTAAAACATGATTATCTTTGTGAAATTTCAGAATTCATTTAAAAATTTTAATACTTGAAATAGTCCAAAGTCAAAGTTTAAGAAGTAATATATATAAAAAAAAAGGTTAGTTGATCAAAATGACACAACATACTTATAATGCAGCGACTTATTACCCAAATTGAAAAGTAACCCGCGCGAAGAAGGATTTTGTTTTCAACTTTGGCTCCTGAAGATATTCACTTATATTATGTCGACTCGTGGCATTTACTTTTATAGATCTAAATTACTTCAATTTTATACAATGCACAAATATAACCCTTCAGTTTATAAAATGTTTGTTTTCAAGTAGAATGTAGAATGAGGATGGCATGTGATGTTTTTAAGAAAGTTAAAATAATAAAGTGAAAAAAAATGAAAACACCATATAGAAAAAAAAAATAAAAAAATCAGACCCCCCCACAAAATTCAAAATGTATTATTTTTCTTTTTAGAATTATCCTTTTTATTTCTTTGTATTTTTCGGACATTTTATCCTTTTACACTCTCACGAATCAATTTTGTGCTTAATTCTATACGAGTATTATAGTTAAAACCTGACTCGTATTAAGGCAAATCAAATGGAACATGTGTAAAACAGTAAAAATACATGGACAAAATATATATGTATTTTAACTCCCATGTTTCTGTTTATTTTATCAATTTAAATTTTTAATTATAATTTTATTACAGTTAAATTTTTTTATAAAAAGTTATATTTAACTTTTTAATTATAATAAAATTTTTTTATATAAAATAACATCTCTAATTTAAAATTATTCTCAATTTAAATATATTTTAAAAAATACCATAATAAATAATAAATTATAATTTAAATTATAATATAAATTCTCATACTAAACACCTAACTTAAATTAAAAAATGGAATCATCGAACTCAACTTGAACCAGGCATAACTTTAATTTTTTACCTTACAAGCTTAAAACCGAGGCGACACCCTTTCATCGTCTTTCTCATTCGCAGTACGACTCTTCTCTGTCTCTCTCCCCCTCTCTCTCTCCCAAATCTCGAAACCTACGAAACAAAACACAGACGCAAAACTCTCTGACTTTCCACACTCAACTTCTCGCAATTACCTTCTAAAACCCTCACAGAACCCCCAAATATCAAATATTTCCTCTCAATTTTGTCGCTTCAATCCACCACAAGCTTCTTTGATCCCTTTCCCCAAACAATTCCGTGCAGTTTCCGCCGTCAATGTCCAATTCCGGAGGTTTCGCCGTCACTCGGCACCACCACGGCGCCGACCGCTTCTACAACCCACCGGCGGTACGGCGCCACCAGGAGTTGCAGCTCCGCCAGCCGCAGTCGCAGCCGCAGAGGCAGCTCCAGAGGCCGTTGAAGTCTGACGCCCGAGTTGACTCGCCCGAGGCGGAGGCGCGGACCCACTCGGACGAGGCGACATTGTCGAGGCCTAACTCGGTCTGCTCTTCTTCTCCATCGCGAACAGCCAATTTGACTAATTTGGATCGTATTATGGAATCCGTCACTCCATTTGTTCCAGCTCAGTTCTTCTCCGAGGTAGTGTAAATTTATGCCTCTAAAAAGCTTACATATTTGGTTGCTGGAAATGATTAGAAAATTACAATCGAACTTTCTTAGTTCTGCTATACTGAAGCTGTATTTATTTTTTGGCGTGTTTGGTTACTCGGAAAATCACAAAATATTTTAGCAATTTATTTGCTCCCTTGCTAAAATGTCGTTCAACCAAGCCAAACAATTAGTATATTATCAATTGGCAGCTCTCTGTTTTCTAAGGCTACGATTAGAATAGTCTATTGGGATCTATTCATTTCACGAGAATGGCGAATAACTCTCTTCTTAGGTTGTTAACTTGATCCATTTTTGAGTCCACAGGCAAGAATAAGAGGGTGGAGAAATCGTGAAAATGATATGCAACCATTTTTCTGTCTTGGGGATCTATGGGAAGCTTTTGGAGAATGGAGTGTATACGGGGTGGGAGTGCCACTAGTCCTGAATGGAAGCGATTCTGTTAAACAGTATTATGTTCCATCCTTATCTGGAATACAGTTGTACATAGACTGCTCGAGGTGAGCTTATTTCAACTCTCCTTGCCTTGTTGTTAGGTCACATGTTCATACCTTTCACATCTCTTCTATTATCTGTCCTTGTTTTTGTCGTTGGTGTATGCCAATTCAGCAATGTTGTTAGCCGTATTCTATAATTCATGTTCATGAATATCCATATTAGCTTTTTTTACCGCACATTCATGTAAACCTTTGCTGTCATGTTGTGTGCTGTAGTTTTATCTACCTGACCCCCTACAGATGAATGTTTTCTAGTCATAGGAAGTAGGAACTTGGACAAGAAATAATTACACTGTCTTTTTACTTGTGTGGGGAAGTTCATGACAAACATGTTTGCAGCAGTGAATCCGTATTGACATGTGGTTTTTAATAACTTGTAATGATGTAGTTAAATGTTGTGAGACTCATAGTTGTTTTGTTTTTGTACTTTTTGAATTGATATTCTGACAGGAGGCCTGGTGATGATAGTGATGCGGAGTCGTCAAGGGAAACAAGTAGCGCTGGAAGCAGTGATTGTGAAGCAGAAAGACGAGTGAAAGGTGTTGTTGATGGAGTATGGGGTAGGCACAACCTCATGAATTTGAATTCCCAGAGGTTAAATCGACTTACGTTGAGAGATAAACATCATATGAGCTCATCAAGCGATGAAAATGAGGTTTATAACTCATCAGGGTCGCTTGTATTTGAGTACTTTGAACAAGAACAACCACATCATCGTAAACCGTTATATGACAAGGTAAGTTCATAACTCTGGAGTACACATTGATCTACTTTTTCCTTCCTTCTTTATCCTGATTTGGATGCTTTGGCCCCAATTTTGGCACCTATTGCCAACGGAATCAGGTCTCCAATCTTGCATCTCAATTTCCAGAGCTCAAGATGTACAGAAGTTGTGATTTACTGCCTTCAAGTTGGATCTCTGTCGCATGGTAAGATCTTAGTTTCAGTTGTCATTGAAGAAGTTCATTTCTCTAGGAGTTCGCAATTATAATAATATATTGATATATTGAAACCTGGCTGCAGGTACCCAATATACAGAATACCGGTGGGCCCAACTCTACAGAGTCTTGATGCATCTTTTCTTACCTTCCATTCTTTATCAACACACTCTAGAAGTACGTTTTAATTTTTCCCTCTTTCTCGTGAACTTATAGAAATGTAGTTAATTGAACTTGTTTGCCTTGATATGAGCAATAATCTGCTATATCTACTGTTATCGGTTACAGGCAAAAGTCAGCCACAGTTACACACTCCCAGTGGCAGGAAGGTCCACGGCATTGATGCATCATCAAAGATGTCTCTGCCCATTTTCGGCCTTGCTTCTTATAAGTTGAGAGGTTCAATTTTGACTCCCAGTGGACCCCATGAATGGCAGCAAGCAAACTCTCTGTTACAGGCTGCCGACAATTGGCTTCAGCGTCTGCAGGTCAATCTTCCTGATTTCCAGTTTTTCATTTCCCACAATTCTCAATGGAGATAGCAGGGTCAGATCTCAAAAGCTTTTCCATATCGGGCAAAGGACTTCCCAGTTGTTGAGTTTCGATTGTTTGTGTTGAGAGGTTAACATGCCTTTGCTTTATAAACTTTCCTGCCAAAAAGCTTTGGTTTTCAGCCTTCTCATCCTTGTGTTTATGCAAGTCTCTCGATGGAAGAAGCAGCACAAAAGACTGGAAGGTAAGAATGCTTTTGGCCTTCTGTTTAGGCTTTTGATGGCTTTTGGAGGCATAAGGGCTGGCAGGATCGGCTATTTAGTTCTTTGTGAGCGGTGCGTGAGCGACTAGAATCGGCAATGCATAATATGCATGGCCAGTCGCTTACTTTGTTGTGTACTTGTGTTTTGGGGCAAGCTAAATTCTACGTGGTCTCAGGCCTCGTAATTTGGTAAATCAAACAGACAATGACTGTGCTTTATTGTCTGCCCTTGATTCTGTAACAAACATTTGATAACATTTATGATATTTAGAAAAAAAAAAAAAAAAAAGAAATCTGGTAGTGGTTTCTTGGAACTGATTTCCTATGTGAGCTTTGAGATCCAGATTTTTTGTATCCCGGCAACATGCTCAAGTAAAATAGAGAATATCACTGACCGTACCTGCGGCAAGCTCTTATTCCTTTTTGTCCTTTTATTTGCGGAAGAGGAATATTATCCATAGAGCCAAAGAATATTTATCTTCTTGATCAATATCTTGTTCAAATTAAGAAGATGATGAGGCTAACAAAGAGTTTCCCATAAAAAAAAAAAAAACGCTGTTTGGGAAATATTTTAGTAAATATGAACACATTTATTAATATCGATTCTAATCTAATATTAATTATCTTTTTCTTTCTATTTTTCTTCATTGCAGCTCAGAAGAAACATTAAAAAAAAAAAAAAAACAGAAAGGAATAAATATGTAAATAAACCCGTATACATTATTATTTACAACAATATACATATAAATAAATATATACATATGTGTTACAAGTTGACAACAGCTTATAAATAAAAGCTTTTATTATGTATCATATTTCCTAATACTTTTTAAATACCTTTTCCATACATTTTTATTATGTATCATATTTTTTAACACTTTTTAAATATCTTTTCTATACATTTTTTTTTTCATAGTATTAATTAAATTATTAAATATCCGTGCAATCGCACGGATATTCCACTAGTGAAATTCTATAAATAAAAGGAAAAACGAAACGACAAAAAGAATTGAAAGCGACAATAATTTGAAAACCGATAAAAAAAACTATTAAACGACGATAAAAAAAGTAAGTAAACGACGATAAAAATGAAAACGGCAACGACATAATAAATATAAAAACGACAATGGGCATTGAATCCAAACGAGGCTTATTAGAGCTTATCATATCATGTACGAGGGTTAGGGCAGTGTTCTGAACACGAAGCAGTTCCCACCTTATCCCGGACAACCTTATACCCGACCTCCCACAATTCGCAGTCAATACCTCGTACTCCAATCGAATCCGAGGTTCAATTTAACACTTTCTCCTCTTAAATTACGAAATGGGTATCTTTTGTTTTCAATGTTTTGGTGAATTATTCATGTTATTACGCGTGGAATTATAATTTGTAGAAGAAATGGGTGTTCGTTCACGGAGTGGAAGTGATCGCCTGAGAACAGTATGGACGCCTGAGATGGACCGGTACTTCGTTGATCTAATGTTGGAGCAGGTCAACAAAGGGAACAAATTCGACGACCATTTGTTCAGCAAACGCGCGTGGAAGCACATGACGTCATTGTTTAATTCCAAGTTCAAGTTTCAGTACGAGAAAGATGTTCTCAAGAACCGGCACAAGACTCTGAGGAATCTGTATAAGGCTGTTAAGAATCTGCTTGACCAGACTGGCTTTAGTTGGGACGACACCCGCCAAATGGTCACCGCTGATAATGATGTCTGGGATGAATATATCAAGGTCAAATCACTCAAATGTTTATTTTTTTTATTTTTTATAAAGTATATATAGATATATGTTTATAATAATATTAATGGGAATCAAAGAAACTCATGGATTTTACAATTTGCAGGTACACCCAGATGCTCGGTCATTCAGAATTAAAACCATTCCTCATTATAATGACTTGTGTTTGATATACAAAGATGCACCTCCAGAGCCAAAAGGTAATTAAAATATAACTAACTAATTATAAATTCACATGTATGTATAACACTCAGATTACGATGTATGACTTACATGAAAAGTTAAAAGAGTATTATTTCATTAAAATTATTTTTTGGACTGATTACAAATAACAATTACTCTGCTCGAATTTGGAATTTGTAATGATGGTAAAACTTGGTGGGAATATGGCAGAGGGGTTGTTGATTTTTTATGAGAAAGGAACATGTGAAATCACTTAGTTAGAAAGAGGTAATTTAAGTAGAGAAATGCTATGAAATGCTATTAATGACTAATAGTGCTCATCAAAACATCTCTTTAACTAAATATAAGTTCACATGTTAGTGATACGACTTGCAGATTAATGACACAAGAACTTGGACTTATTGACATTTTTCCATTAAGACATGCTTTGGACTGATGAACTATTACTTTGCTCGAAATTGGAATTATATAATGATGGTGATCAAACTGGGTGACAATGTGACAGAGGAATCGTTGATTTTGTGTGAGAAAGGAACAAGCGAAGTCACGCAGCCAAGTGATGTTGTTGGCGATGGGGAAACACTGCCTCTTCATGACATCATGATTGATGAAGATTATGGAATCTCCATATCCGAAAAAGATGCCAATGTTGATTTCGCTTCGCATGCTGCACTGCAAAATGCGAGCGGAACCACATTAGGAAATCGTTCTAGAACTTATTGGCAGCCACCCATGGACCGGTACTTCATCGACGTTATGATGGATCAGGTGCAGAAAGGCAGCAGGATTGACGGTGTGTTCCGAAAACAGGCATGGATGGAGATGATCGCGGCTTTCAATGCCAAGTTTGGATTCAGTTATGACATGGATGTTCTTAAGAACAGATACAAAACTTTGAGGAGGCAATATAACGTCATCAAGAATCTACTCGACTTGGATGGTTTTGTTTGGGATGATACTCGCCAAATGGTCACTGCTGATGATTATGTCTGGCAAGATTATATCAAGGTATGAGATAGTTTAGTGAAAAATTCTCCCTTATTTTTTTTTTTTTTTTTCGTCAGTGGTAAACATAGCTATGCTACTAAGTTCTAAGATTATGGTGGAAAGGGTGATATAACCTAAATATCAGGATATTAGGAGGAGTAATTTAGGTTACAAGAGTTTTAGTTGATATCAGTTCTGTAATACAATGATTGCTCTACTTGTCGACTTTCGAGATTCTTATTTACGCATTTTGGTGGAATAGGCAATAGCCATTCTTAAGACTTGTTGCTCAACCAAACATAAGAATGACTGGTTCTTAGGAGTTGTCATCGTTCCATTCCAATGGTTCTTTTACCAAATCACGCGTAATGTTATTACGTGATAAATTGCAGGCTCATACCGATGCAAGACAGTTCATGACCCGACCTGTCCCTTACTACAAAGAATTATGTGTGATATGTGATCCAAGTTCTGATGAAAGAGAGTGTTCTTCTGGTCAAGATTTAGATCAGCAAAATGATGAAGACGACGCCAGGTCTCCAGCTACATCTGTTTCTAATGGGTCTAAGAAGAACAAGCGTCAATTGGAGAACTTGTATTGTCTTTCAAATTCAAAAAGATCACGAGACAATGATGATGGAATGGCTAGCGCTCTCCGTGAGATGGCTAGCGCAGTTTCTTCTTTGTCAGACAAAAGGAAAAATGATGAGAACTCAATCCCAATAGAGAATGTGATGAAAGCAGTTCAGGCTTTGCCGGATATGGATGAGGACCTTGTATTGGATGCATGTGACTTATTAGAGGATGAAAAGAAAGCGAAAACTTTCATGGCATTAGATGTTAAGTTAAGAAGAAAGTGGTTATTGAGGAAACTAAGGCCAGAGACGTAGAGAGATGATTAGTTTTTAGAACTAATTGTTCCCTTGTACAGATGAAAAATTTTATCACCAAAATCAGTTGAGTTGATATTATGTAATTGTAAGTTCTGTAGAAATGGAATTTCAGTTATATATCCCAAATTTTTACCCTAACAAGTTATACTTTAATTTTATAATGTGTTATGAAACTATCTTCTCATAATGTGTATCATTATTCTATTGTTTATCTGATTATCAACCTTCATCAAAAGAGTAGCAGTAAATGGGCACACACACGGGAAGAGAGTAAAGGATAAGATTTGCATTAGCAGAAGCTTTATAGAAAGCTGGGAAAATGAGAGTCTGCCTCTTTAGGGGCTTACATACTTGAGCTGAATTATACAATAAGCATTACATTGAATTCCTATATCTAACCTATTGCTGTTAATATATCAGTAAACGCAAACACTACATAAACAGCGGCACTTGACTTCTCTTGTAAAAATACGAAGTGGGCCATTCATAAGCCATCATCCAGGAAGGTTGACCATAGTAGACCCTGTACAAACTTGCATCTTTCTGCTTTCTCCTCTTGGTCCTTGTCTGATAAAGGAGGTGGGCGACTATTTCTGCAATACCAGCGAAAAATGAGATAAAGATGCAACATGTTAACGACACCAAGATGCAACTCAAGCACGAAATTACATGGGATGCAGTGCGGGAAAAAGAAGATAACCGCTTAATAATATCTTAACAATACCATGATACACAACTTAAGCAAGAAATTTGCATAGGATACAGTTAAATTTAGCCCACTTTAGTTGCATTTAGTTCCATAGAGTAACATTTTCAACATCTAGTAATCAGAACATTCCAGTAAGAATGGAATAAAAGAGTAAATAAATTAGAGCACACAAGAGAGTATTTTAAGGAAAATAAAGTTTGGCATACCCTTCCAACGATGCTTCTTCCGAGGTTTTCTCTTCTAAGACTACTTCAGCAGAAGAAATAGACTGCAGATCATCCGACTTCTCAGAAGTGGGTGCTTTATGAAGAAAAGACAGCAGTGGATCAAGTGCCATCTTGGAGGTGGAAACTGGCGACGGTGAACCGCCAAAAATAGATCGAAAATGTTCATCCTGCAACTCCTTCCTTGAGAAAGAAAGGGCTAAGCACTCCCCTTTATGAGGTTTCAAGTTGTGCTGACCGTAATCTCAGGTTAAGGAATCCAAAGTATAGTCTCAACTAATCATGACAGTCAATTAACAATTATGAGACCAAAGAGGCGTTTACTTGGAGAATCATAAAATGAAAAGAGAAACTACTAAACCTGAGATATAATTAATTTAAAAGAAAGGGGAAAACAAATCAAGACAAAAAAATTAAAACAATATGGTAAAAGCTAAAAAAAATAGAAATTAGAAATAAAAAAGGATATCTTAAAGAAGTTCACATGCTGTGTCGTAATGTGACCAACCATGTTCATCCCCACCCTCGTAGCGCAAACAGGACATATCTGGAAGTGAAGATAAGTGTCACTTGTAAGCAAGTGTTCTAAAGCTTTAAATTACTCAAAACAAAAGTTATATTTCAAGTGTTAAAAGGCTAATAAATAAAAGCAACTGTCACACAACTAAAATGCATCAAAAAAATCAGTGCATCAATTTCCCAAGTATGGAGATCCATTCAACCCAAAGGGTTTACAAGTAAAAGAAGCCCAGAAAACACTAAGCAGGCAAAGTTAACGTGGAAAGTCAAGATGATGGCCTATGATTTCATATAAAATACAAGAAAAAAAAAATGGTGAATGACTTTTTGTCAACCGACCATAAAGTTACAACAGCCTCTCTCTCTCTCTCTCTCTCTCTCGCTCTATATATATATATATATATATTACTCGTTTTTAAAACCTTTCTAGTTTGATTGTGCAAAAGTGATCGTGGCCTGGTGGCCTTTTAAAATGTCAGAATACTTTTACATCACCAAAAAGTTACACAACAACCCACATGAAAGCCTTAACATCTAAAAAAAAAAAAACCTTCAAAACTGCAGAATCCGATGACTACCCACATAAGGTTCTTAAGCTATGAATTTCAATTGTAAATTAATTCATTTTCGCATCTAAAACTATGATTAAACGACGAATTTAAAAGTTGGAATTGCATTTACATACCCCAGATTTTGCCTCCGAAGGATGCTCCTCATCTAAATGGCAACAAAGCCCAACCAAATCAAAATCCTCCGAACAAAACGGGCACGGAAAGTCCAACCTTAAATCTTCATCATCTCCATCAAAATCCTCGAACTCGATATAGAAATCTGCATAACAAAAACCTCAAAATTCAGACCATAAAAAACAAGAACAAAAAAAAAAAGAAGAGATTTTTTGAACTCTAAATAAACCAACCGGAGTGAGACTTGAGCGTGGACTGATGATGATGATAAGTACTTCTTAAGGAAGCGGCAGAGAGGCCAGCAAAGCTCCAACCATCATGTTCCATTGAATTTAAGTTAAAAAAAACAATAAACAAAAAACCAAAAAAAGAAGTTTTTTTTTCTTCTTCAATAAGTACTTGGGTTGAAATAAATGATGGGTTTTCAGGATTTTGCAAAAGATGCAACAAAAAAATTAAAGGAGTTTGCTTTCTGTCGGTCTCGCTATATAAGCGTGTGGGGTTTAGGGGCCAGAGGAAAAAAAAAAACAAAAACAAAAACAAAAACAAAAAGTAAAAGCGTGTAAATGACGAAGGACTTTCGGTCTTTGTGGTTTGGATACTTAGCGGACACGAATTCTCGTTGTTTTGCCGGGAGGTCCCTCAACTTCCGCTTATTTATCATAAACTTTTCTTCACCAGTAAGGCCAACGATTCTCGATTGCGGTGTTAGGACATTTATGCCCTCAAGGTTCTTAAGAAACTACGGTATATAACTCTGGTCGTTTTTAGTTTTCTGGTTATGTTGGGGTTGTTTTCGTCTTTTGGAGTGCCTAGGTCGGTTTTACTTTCGAGGGTCATTTCGGTCGTCCCGGTTTGATCACGATCCAGACAATCTGAGGCCCACTAAGGCCCACCGAGCTTCAGCCCAGTTTATCAGTTTGTACAGTACGGAAAAAGGCGCAAATTAGCAGCGCTTGAAGTTACTCGGCTCGGAAGATCGGACGGAGTCGACTCGGGATCGTGATCTCCCGCGATTCCCCCCAAAACCCTCGTCAATCTAAATTCTCTGATTTTTGTCTGGAAATTCCTTCCTTGGTCCTCGATTTCAGGTCCAGAAAGCGAGTTTAGGTCTAATCTCCGGGCTTTTCAATTCGAATTTCGGTTTTTTGATTCTTGATTTTTGGTTCCAATGGCGGCGAGGAATCGGACCGTACAGTTCCGAAAGCACAGGGACGCCGTGAAGAGCGTCCGAGCTCCTTTGTCTTCGTCCGCGGTGGCGTCGGGTGGTCCGGTTATCGAAATGGTGAGTGCTTCGCTTCTCGGTCCGAATCGATCTTCTTACGCTCCTCTTAGCACGGAAGAGCCAGGTCCTTCTAGTTCTAGGTACGCCTATCTTTTCTTTTCTTTTCTTTTTTTATTTTTTTATTTTTTTTGGGACTAAATTTCATTTCTTTCTTGGAAAAATGAGAGTAGATATTATTTATTTACTTTTCGCTTTTAATTAAAGTTCGTTCTTTTCAGCCAAATTCTCAATTTAGATAGATAGAGAATTAAGCTGATTGCTTGAGCTCAATGGACATGATAGATGGTCTGTTGTGATTGGAAAGTAAAAGTTTTTTTTTTTTTTTTTTTTTTTTAAATTCATTTTACGTTAATATCTGGCATGATTTTGCTTTATGATGGAAATGAAGTAATTCGATGAAAGTTAGGTTATAATTTCACTGAAACTTTGGTTATTTATTTAAATTGTGCTTCGTACAAGAAATCCATGAAAGACTCAAGAAAATTGACATGCAAGGAAAACCACTAGATTATTTGCCTAAAGCCATTTTCTTACAGGTAGAGGTCTATGCTATTGGTGAAGTTCTTAGATTATGGATTGTAGATAGTAATATATCTGTCTAGGTGCTAAGAAGCTTTTAATTTGTTATGGAGGTTGTTGGGGAAATTGCTCATGCAATTTGTTATAAGCTGAAAACTAAAAATCATCGTTTAAAAATGTCAATTCACCAATTTCTCTACTTTACAGTGTAGTTGGTTGGTGCCAAGCTAGGTTTTAGATTCCAATTGTTTCTTATTGAGTAGGGTTTTTGGCTTTTCATCCGTGCAAATGTGGTTGGTGCTTAGGCAGAAAGATATGCCAATGCACCAATTTATCTATTTTATATTGTTTTGTCAATTCTGAGGTCGGTTTTAGATTTCAATTCTCTCTTATTAAGTATGGGGTTTTGGTTTTTCATCCGTGCCAATGTGGTTTGTGCTTAGGTAGAAAATTATGCCAATTCACCAATTTCTCTATTTTACAGTGTTTTGTCAATGCTGAGCTTGGTTTTTTATCCCAATTGTTTCTTTTTAAGTAGGGGGTTTGGGTGTTTTGCTCGTGCAATGTGGTTTGTGCTTAGGCATTCTGCCTTTGTTCCACAAGCATCCCTCCTGATTTTAGTCTTTTGACATATGAGCGTATCTATGGTGCAGAAGGGATGCGTTTACTGTGCGTTTACCGCCGGATTGGGTGGATGATTCTGAAGAAATAGCTGTGAATATCCAACGTGCTCGGATCAAAATGGGCGAGTTAGTTAAGGCTCACGCAAAGGCTTTAATGCCCTCCTTTGGAGATGGCAGGGAAGATCAACATACAATTGAGACTCTTACACAAGAGATTACAGATTTGTTGAGAAGGTCGGAGAAGAGATTACAGAAATTTTCAGCTAGTGGGTCCTCGGAGGACTCTAATGTGAGGAAAAATGTACAGGTATGGTCAAATGATCAATTTGTACTCTCACTGAGTTCCCATATGTTGTGCAGTAATTTAGTAACTATTTCATTTTTTTTATAAATTTTTGCCAGTGTTCTCTGGATATTTACATTCATGTTTAATAGAGTGGCTACTGCGAGTAGGCTGTTTAGTTGCCAATGAACTTGACAAGGCAAAGCCTCCTCAAGCCGTGGCTATGAATAAAATGTTTGCTTTAGTATGTTTCATTGCTCTCTCTCATGAATTGACCCACCTTTGGAAAATTTCTGACAGCGATCACTTGCAACAGACCTTCAGAACCTCTCAATGGATCTAAGGAGAAAACAGTCGACATACTTGAAAGGTTTGAGGCAGCAAAAGGAGGTTTGTGTTATACATGCGTGTTTTAGGGAAAAGTTCATTGAACTCTTAACTGAATATACTGTATCTTTTCCTTTATTGTCTCTGCATTACACTTCCTGGTGCAGGGACATGATGGGGTTGACTTGGAGATGAACTTGAATGATAATAGATCTAGATTGGAAGACGATGAATTTGGAGACATGGTACGTGGTTTTTATCTTTTTGGTTAACTGTAAAAGGATCTGTCTAGATGCTGGAAAACTGAGTTCTGGAATAACTGTGGAGTGGCCGTTGGTTTTGAAAAGATTGCTCCCCACCTTCCCCCTCTTCCCAATTTGAGAAAGCATATTTGACGTGAAGCAGTTTTGCTTTGTGGTTTCCACTATTGTGCCTGTCTATGAATATGATAACATGGCCCCGATTATGTTGCCTATTTTGCAAGCTTAATTTAAGAAATTTCTCTTTACCAGACCTGATATGATTTGTTCATTAAATTCAGGGCTTTAACGAGCACCAAATGGCTAAGCTGAAGAAGAGTGAGCTATTGACAGAGGAAAGGGAGAGAGAAATCAAACAGGTAACTGAATTCTCGATCTGATGTTTGAGGATCATGTTGATATCCTCATTTCATTTTTTCTTCATTTTTTAAAATTATTTTCTGGTTGCAGGTTGTGCAATCAGTAAATGAACTTGCTCAAATCATGAAGGATCTCTCGAGTCTGGTGATAGATCAGGTTAAGGCATCATCTGTGTACCATGTCAAACAAACAGACTTCCTAGTTCAAGGTGACTAACGAAGTTCCATGTTCTACCAGGGTACAATAGTCGATCGGATTGACTACAATATTCAGAGTGTTTCTGCATCGGTTGAGGAAGGTTTGAAACAGCTTCAGAAGGTTTGTTCATTCTCCCCGTATTCATAGAATGCAGAGTGAAGTTAAAAACTTGAAATTATCCTTGCAACATATCATACCTATCTAGCTCTCTGTGTAGGTCATTCGATTCAGTATAGTGAATAGTTCAATACACTTATTATTACTTTTTGTGGAACTATCGAGAGCTCGGAAATTAGTCCTAAATTCACTATAAATTCTTCATCATGAAAAAAAAAGAAAGAAAATAAAAAAATGTAGATCGTCTGTTGCAAAAAATGGGCAGTTTGGCTGTTTATAGTTTTCATTTCCTCAAATTTTGGGAATGCAGGCAGAGAGAACACAGAAGCAAGGAGGAATGGTGAAGTGTGCAACGGTGCTAGTTATCATGTGCTTCGTTATGTTAGTCCTTCTGATACTCAAGGAGATCATCTTGTGATTTTCACTCGCAGCCTAAACCTATGATAAACATAATACAGTGGAAACCGATTATAATTTTTGTAAGCTGGTGTAAGAGAATGGGGCCAGAGTGGACATTTTTTTTTTTTTTTTTTTTTTGGAAAAAGAAAAAGGAGAAATTTACTCTGGTTTTGCAAATTGAAAGAAGGGCTGTGCAATAGCAAATGGATAACTTTGTAATAATTCGTTCATTCAAATTTCAAATATATCAATCAGTGAAAAGGCATATTATATGGTAATGTGAAGATTCTTTTATTTTTCTGTTTTGTTATTGTACTATTCCGCGGCTTCTTCATTTATGTTGCAGATTATGGCATACTTACAGGCTCATCTACGGACGTTAAAAGGATGATGATGCATTAATTTTTGTAGCGAGAACTGTGATTTGCATATCAATTATAGAGACGTCAAAGAAATGACCTTTTCTTTTTTATCATTCAACCTGAGAAGGCCAACAATGAACCGTGAACTTTGATACGTTTTATTCAAACATTAGGTTTCTTGTTTTTTTTTTTTTTTTTTTTTTTTAATGTAGAATATAGAATTAAAAAAGAATATCTTGCTGGTATTGTATGGTTCAAATTCTACTTTTTTTTTTAATTTTTTATTTTTTGAAACAAGTTCTAGTTCTACTTTTAACCATTTGATTTTTTTTTATGTTAGTTTTATGAACTTTAAATACTTTTTGGTTGCGGTGTAATTGTGATATAATTTGTGATTCAACGACACATGGTAGAGTCTCTTTTTTGTACCTTAGATAAGAGCACGATTTCCTTAACGACTTAAGAGGCTTCCCATGGTTGTTTTTTCCTCACTCTAATTGAATATTCATTTTAGAAACAATCACTTTTTAAATTTTTTTTTTAAAAAAAACCTTTTTTTTTTTTTTTTTTTTTTTTTTTAGGGGAGTTTTGTTCTTTTTCCTCATTTTCTTTTATAGAAGGAAAGCTAAAAAAGAGAGAAAAGCCTACTACATCTATGAAAAGTGAATGGACCAAATGCACTTTTTTAAAAAAAATAGATTATTATGATTAGTCCCGAATTTTGAGATCATTCTCAATTTGCCTTTTGAATTTTAAAAATTCTCATTTTACTATTTAAATTTTGAATTGTTCTCATTTAACTCTTTATGTTAAAATTTATGTTAAAAACATATAGAATAAAAAAGAGTAATGTAGTCATATGGTCTTTATGTTTAAATATCTATTAAAAGTAAATGAATAAAATCACATGATTGCACTTAACCTTTTTTTTTGGTCTGATTTTTCTTGCAAAAAAGTTTAAATGAGACTAATCCAACATTTAGGGGGCGTTGCGTATGGAATAATATCAGGGGTGGGAATGAGAATTTTTCAGATTTCTATGTTTGGTATCATTATTAGACTTTTTTAAAACCTAAAAAAGTGAAGCCTATGGATTTCACATTACCATATTTAGGGTAATTCTAAACCCATTCAAGAGAGTGTTATTTACTTTTTCAGGAAAGTGAATATCACGGGAAGGTTAAAATGGGTGTTATTTATTTTCCTACATTTCTCCCACCATCTCTTCATAGACCCGGCCGCCTCTCTCGTCCACTGCTATTCCGTCGACCACGCCGCCACCTTCCGATCCACTACCTCGTTGTTGGACTTTCCTGTGTCGCCACCACCGTTAAATTCGCCATCCGATCCACTACTGCTCTACCCCACTGTTAAATCCCCATATCCAACAGTGGTCACCGGTCTCCTCGTCCGCCCAGCCCCTTGACCGTCCCACCATCCCCGTGACAGTCGCTTCCGTCTGCCTAGCCCCGAATCACCTATGTCCGCCCAGCCTCGAATCGCCTCTGTCCGCCCAGCCTTGAATCGCCTCCGTTCGCCCAGCCCCGTGACCATCGCACCATCCCACACTCGGCAAAGTCCAATCCCGTGCAGATCTAGAAGATCAAGAGGGATGAGAGAGATAGAGAAAGAGATCGAGAGGGAGAGGGAGATCAAGAGGGATGAGAGAGAGAGAGAGAGAGAGAGAGAGAGAGAGCATTTTTCAATTTTTTTCTATTAAATTTTTAAATTTATTATCATGTATTTTTTCATAATATTTAAAAAATCCAATAATAGTATTAATCTTATGAGTTAGTAAAATGGTAATAATGGGATTTTATTAGTTTCAAATTTTTTTAAATTATTAACTTTATAATAAGAAGGATTACATTACTATGTCTAACTAAACACTGTAAAATAAAACTAAACATGATAATGTAAGTTTTTAGATAATCATATTTCCCAATAACTCTAAATTTAAGGAGTGCCAGTGATAAAATCTTTCAGAAATAGACCAAATGCACCAACGGAGCATGTTTCTAAACAATACAACCGAAGACAGTCAGATAAAAGAACGCACATATATAGTATATACACGACCCTAACTCCATGGTTCAGAGTCCTATAACAGCAAATGGATAACTTTGTAACAATTCGATCATTCGAATTTCAAATATATCAATCAGTGAAATGGCATATTATTTGGTATTGAACTTTCTTTTATTTTTCTGTTTTGATATTGTGTAATATTCCCTGGCTTCTTCATTTATGTTGCAGGTTATAATGGCATACTTATAGGCCCATCTACGGACGTTAAAAGGATCATGATGTGATGATGCATTGATTTCTATACCGAGAACTGCATTGATACGCTTGTTTTGACTTTTGCCAAATTATAGAGACGTCAAACAAAAGACCTTCTCCTTTTTAGTCATTCAACTTGGGAAGGCCAAAAATGAACCGTGAACATATATATTTTAACGAGAAAGAAAAAAATAGGTCAAGACTTGAGATGAATTAAAATTAATAGATTAATAGTTTATATAAGTTAATAAATAGGTCAAATTACTATTTTTATTCATAATTTGTCTGGTTATGAACCATAACTTGACAAGTTATTGTCTATAAATCACGGTTTTTGTCCATAACTTGTCTGGCTATGAATCATAACTTGACAAGTTTGTTCATAACTTATCTGGTTATGAATCATAACTTGACAAGTTATGACATATTAATTTTTATAACTAAAAGTTGGCCTATATACTACCTTAAGCTTTTCATATTGGCATATTTTCTACTATTTTTGTATATTTTATTCGGTTTATAATTTATGGATTTCTTGTTCTTTAACTGATTTTCTTAATTGAGATTATAGAATTAACAAAAATACTTTGCTGGTATTGTATGGTTCAAATTGTACTTTGAACCTTTTGGATTATATCAACTATCAAGTTTCATAAAATTATAGTACTTTTTTGTGTTCCGATGTGATATGATCGATATAATTTCTCGTTAGAAAACGACACGGTATAGATTCTCTTATTTTATATATTCCTTCTTCTATTTTTTGCCGGAAGTAACTAGTTCTTCACTGAGAGTAAAGAGGTTTCCTGTGCTGGATATATAAATCGTATTATTTTTTTTCCACACTTTAATTAATGTATTCACTTTTAAAACCATCCCTTATAAATTTTTTTTTTCTTTTTTTTTTCCTCATTTTGTCTTAATAATATATAAGATGGCATCAATTACCGCACCTCTAAAAAATAAAAATAAAAAAATCCGAACATCTAACTGTTTCAGTGTGAGGATTATAAGATATGAAAAACAAATGGTCTAAGTGCATCTTTCTTTAAAAGTAGACGAAATGCAACCCTAACTCCATGGTTCAGAGTCTTATAATGAGGTCTCAATAAATAAATAAATAAATAAATAAAAACAATAATAAAAGAGACTACGTAGCTAGTAAGTTTCCTTAGAAAACGGAGGACCACCTCAAAGGCGATTCAAATTAGAAAATACTGTTAGTATTTAAAAACTAAAATAATAAACAAACATTCCAAACTTTGAAACTTAAAATTGTTTGTTGCTATCAAGTAATCTTGAGCGGAAACATAAAATAGAAACAAAAACATAAACAAGAAAAAATAAGCATATATTATCAACTAGAAGATAAATTAATTTACAAATATATCTCACCCTTTATACAAAAAGGTTTGGACAAGTACTTAAATGAAATCTAAAATAAATTACATATTCAGTATCTAAGTTCAATCTTCATAATTTCTTTGCATGGTGACAATCAGACCGTCCCGAAACTTCATTACCTTAAATAATTCAAAGCCATCTTCTTCTAGATACTGAAGATTGAATAAGTTATCACTATTAGGTATATAATATAAAAATAAAAATAAAACATGATTTAATATTAAGGTTTTTGAATGTTTATATTCAAGCAGTCATATAATTTCAAAATGCAGTTACCTACAGCCGATCATCTTAACTAAGTTATATGATCAATTCAAGACCAAATGCTCCCCCACTCGAACTTTTTTTTTTTTTTTTTTTTTTTTTTAAAGTTATATTGGTTGTAAAACATCATGGTAAGTAATGGTTGTTTCTATAACATGTTTGGTTCAATCAGATCAAGCCATTGATCCCATCCAAAATAATAATAATAGTAATAATAATCTAATAATAATAATAAAGGCATTGATGAAAAATTTAGTCTCGTTATAAACAGCAATATTAGGCTAAAAAAAAAGAAGCGTGTTTTATGATTTTCTCTTTTTGAGCGGGTATGTGTTTTATGATTTTCTTTTTTTTTTGAAAGTGGCGGTAGTTTTATGTTTTTTTTTAAATGTACGAATATTTTTTTAAAAAAATCAAACGGAAGAGAAATTAGATATGGATAAATTTTGAATTGGTTTAGTGAAGGGTAAAATTGTAAAAATAGAATTTTTAAGCTTTGAATAACATAACCGTATTGATGTAGTTAAAAAACAAACTTTGTAGCTGAAAAACAAAAAGATAACACTTACATATATAGTCAACTGAGTAGAATTCAAAAACCAAGGATGTGAAAACCTATCTTTTGCTATGGTACGTAGTCTACTGAATAGAAGCTTACAGAATGTAACCAAGTTGTGCAGTAGTAGTCAGCGTCATTATTCTCATATATATATATATATATATATAATATTGCTTATTGAAGAATGGAGGATAATAGCAAAGGGAAATCTATTGCTGTGCCAGAAATTAGAAATTTCACTTCGGATAAACTCCCACTAGAAGTTAGGGTTCTTGTTTTAGAACATGATGACAGATATCTTTCTACATTGGAAACGGTGCTCAAGTCCCGTGGTTATGGCGGTATGTATTGTTATTGTTTTTGTAATCATAATTATTTATCATTTTGGTTTCTTATGCTTTATTTT